AGAGATTCAGGGAAACAGTGGGGAGCAATTAGCATGAGCTCCCTGCAGCTTTTCAAAGAAAGCAGAATTTTAGATGAATCGATTCAAACGTTCATTTCAGTCTGACTGGATGGACATTTAGTTAACTGTATTAGCTTCTACCTACAGTTTAGAGAGCTGAGTGTTGTCGTCTTTTCTTCCAGTTGGTGTTTGTGAGGGGAAACATCGTCTTCAGGATGTTTATCAAAGCTGCAGATTTATTAGTTCTAGCTTCACAGCTGCTATTCCTCTTGTCCATGGAGAGTTTCCCAGTCTGCCATTAGCAGGTCCCAAGATCTGCAATATTTGCAATTTTTCTCCTCAGTGAGCAGCAGAGCAATGAGCGAAGGAACACCACCAGTTTCCACAAGTGTGCTGACTTCCAGGACGTTTTGTTGTCTTTCATTCATCCATCAATCCATTTTCTTATCCTTTTCTGGGTTCAACAGACTCAAAAGGGAATTCCAGGTGTCGCTCTCCCTAGTCACGTTTTCCAGTTTGTCCTGGGGGATAGTGAGGCCAGATGAGTTACATAATCCGTCTAGTGAGTTCTGTGTCGACCCCGGGGTTTCCTCCCAGTTGCCCAGAAAACCTCCAAAGTAAAACGCCCAGGAGGCATCCTGATCAGATGTCCACTGTACCTCAGCTGACTCCAAATGTTTTGTGCACAGATTAATATGAAGGTAATTAGGTCAGCTCGCAAGTATCCCTGCATGGAGATCCCAAATGCAACTGGCAAAGTATTTGTTCCAATCGGCTAGTTTCTGTGTTTCCTTTCAATCAGAATAAAAAAATAAATAAAAAATCTGGCAAACAACAGGGTGGTTTTGGGGCTCCTAGTATCCCAGAATCTCTACGAAGGAGGTAAAGAGTCACACAAGTTAATGTGACCCATCAAGACACAAAAGTCACATTAATGGGTCAAAAATCTTTAAACAAGTTCTTTCTCAGATTTGCCTGAACTTCTTATAAAACAAAGTAAAGATATTTAGAAAGATTTTTGCAAAATTTTAGCCTGATATATCAAATCCTTTATAAGATACATTTAAAAAATAAATAAATAAATAAATGTTGACCCACTTTCAACATTTGATGTCAGTCTAAAATTTCACAGATACCATTTTAAATATTCATAGATTATGGTAAAAAAAAAGTTTCAAGCAAATCCAAGATGACTGAGCAGAATGTCCCTGATGATTTGAGATGTAATAACCTAGTGGGAAATACAGCAGGTAGAACTTGAATTTTAACAGTCATTATGTATCCACCTATTTATGTTGTGCAGTTTGAGCAGCCGGTATCTGATATCTCACATCTGAGTGTCGTAAAAATACCCAACAAATTGCTTTATAGTTCAAAATATCTGACATTTCTGTGTAGTGTTAAGATGTTTGCAACAATACTCATCTTCAGCCTATCAGCATCTCACCTTTTCATCCCCACAACCCACATCCAGACTCACAAACACGCTGATTTAACTTAAACACCTTTAGCTTCTAATCCCTCTAATTCAATAGATGTGGTGCAGCAGGATTAAGCCCTGCTTAGACATGCTTTGTCGAGGTTCAGGTTTGGACCCTCGAGAGCACTTGAGGAGCGATTCATGGGAAACACGCGAGGAAACTCAGAGCCTGCACTCACACAAACACACACACACACACACACACAGCTCGGTGATGATGCAGGAATAATAGTGTCAGGGGGCATCAGCCTCTCAGACCAGGAAGCAGACGCTGCAGGTTTAGGTGAAAGCTTTATTGTGTGAAACTGAGCTGCCCCTCTGAGCGCACGGAAAAGCCTGACTACTACAGCAAGTGCTTTTATGCAGTTTATCATACATGATTAATGATAGAAGCTGAAAAGAAAGATCAATCAAATTTCCTCAGCAGTATTTTCAAAACATGACAGCTCAGAAGTTTGTGTGTCGAAGGGCAAACACATTCATCAGCTACTCACACGTTATGATCAATGGCAGATTGAGGCTAGTAGAGCAGTCATTTGTCGGATATTGTTGAAAGAGCACTCCACCACTTTAGCTTTGCACTCTTGTGAATTAGAACTCAGGACAACAGTATGTTTTAAAGAGCTCATATTCAGCACATTTACAGGTTTAGAAATTTTATCTCTGGGTTCTCCTGGAATATGTTTACCCGCTTTAATGTTCAAACACACATTTTTCTTATACTGTACATTGTTGCATCTCTTTCTGAAATGCTCTGTTTTAGCTGCTGCCTCTTT